CCACTGGTTACTTTGCTCTCAAAGACTACGCGTGTTGAAAACAGAAGCCGATGGGCACCGCTTGTGTTTCACGTCAAGAGAGGGGGAATTAATGGAGAAACGATCATGGAGAAAGAGATCTTGCCTGGGGCACACATAGACCTTATCCCCAGCACCATATTTGGCAATGACAATGAAGAAAATCCTGTTTTTGTGTATGCTCATATTGATGGAATGGACACACAATTGTGGACTCCTATAGACCCAAATATGATCAAGTACAATGCTAAGGTTTTTCTGGGATTTGTGGAATTTCGCAGGCCAATTGAAACTACATTTTTTGCTGGATCTAAATTAGGAAGGCTCAGGTCCCTTTCCTCGCTCTGATTTTGCTTTTCAATAATTCATCCGTACATTCAGTTTTCATTGTTTGCTAAATTGTTCTTTATATATGGTTTTGCAGGGTTGTTGTTAAGGTGAAAAATGCTATGAAGAAGGTTATGGATAAAATTGTGGGTATAAACTGATGAGATAAATATGTTATGTACTTTGATTTTTCATTCACAGGATCTTTTGGTCCATTTTTATTGAGTTTTGATGTTAATTTAACATGAATATCATGCTTCTATTTTGCTTATAAGTCTTGTCCCTTTTTTTTTAAGGATATTTCATTTATCATCCAAGCCATCAGAATAAATTATATATGGCATGTATAAACAGGATATTTCATGTTTCATCCAAACAGTCAGAGATTTCATGTTTCATCCAAACAGTCAGAGATTTCATGTTTCATCCAAACAGTCAGAGATTTCATGTTTCATCCAAACAGTCAGACTAAGTTATACATGCCATGTATAAACTTTCTTTCTATTGTTAGACTTTTTGGATATATTCTGTTCCTGGCTCTTCGCTGTTCAACATTTCCTTTTGGATTCTTGAATTGATGTTGGGATGTCATGTTTGTTTCTAGGGGAAAAGTATAAAAAAGAGGTGCAATTTCTTCATGAAGTGGTATTGGTTGTTTCTTCTTCTCTAATAAGTTTTGGAATTTTTTTTGTTTTTTTTTGTCATGTTCAATTGATTTTTGGTGGGGTCTGAGGTGAAGATATGGAAGACTAGAGAATTTATATATACTAGATTTCAATCCATACTTTGTCGTGATTCGTTTGTATTTAATAAAAGATTTTTACAAATTATATAAAATTTTATAATAATAATTTAATATAAATATATTTTAATAATATATTTTGATTAAAAAAATAGAAAAGAGGAAAAATTTTATTTTATTTTATTTTTAATTTAATAACTTATTTAGATAAGAAAAAAGAAAAAAAAAGGAATGGAGGATTAAAATTTCTCTTTCCTCCCTTTTATTTTTTATTTTTTTTTAACGTCTGTTGGATAGTACTTCTAAGAGTTTCAGCATTTTAATATTATTTATATTTTATAAGTATAAATTTTTTTTAAAAAATTTATATTTTTAAAATATTTTATAACTTTAAAAAGATCTCCAACAATAAAAGTCCGAAAACTTCAAATTCAAGTTTTTCACAATCCTCTTTTTTACTATTTTTTCCTATGCAACTTTTAAATCTTATTTTTAATAAAAATTTAAATTTATCACTTATGAACAATATAAAAAAAAAAATAAAAACTTCAACAAGTTGCACTAAACAACCTAATATTGAAAATATTCATTTTAATAATTATTAATTAAATTTGTTTAACTTATATCTTTATAATTAAGTTATAAATTAAAAGTGTAATAAATATATTTTTTTATAATTAATTTACATTAAAAATTATAAAAATTAACATATATTTTAATATAACTTACACAAATTATTTTAATTAATTAATTAATTGATTAAATTAAAATTAAAATTCATATTTTTAATAAAAATTAATTATAAAAAATATTTTTATTATAACCTTATCATATGAATAGAAAAATCCTTATTAATTTTAAATATATTAATTCAAATAAAAATATTTGAACTATAGATATAAAAAAAAAAAAGAACAAATCTAAACGTTAAAATTTAACCAAATGATTATAAATTTTATAAAAATAAAATCATTCCTATGTTTATAATAAGATTATTTATATTTAATGTAATTCTTGTAATGTAATATGAAAATAATGATAAGATTTATATTTTTTAGTAAATGAAAAAGTTGTTGATTTTACTCTCATGAAAATGATGAAATCGCAGATATGCTCTTCAGACAACATGGCGAAATTTTTTGTTTTAAAAAAGGGGGAAATACTGAAGAGTAAAGTAGAGATATGGGAACCTGGGTTTGTGGAGTTATGGTGCCAGAAACTATCCCACCAGTCCGATTCAATGGCTCTGGGTTCTGTAAGAACTACGCTTATGCTATTGGGTCTCTCCAATTTCTTCGATGTTTTCTTTGTCTTCTTCAATTTCTTGAGAGGTGCCATCAGAATCTATACTACTTGGATCTTCCGCCGTTTTCACTGATTCAGGATTTTCGTAGCAGCGCGATGGCTAGCAAAATTTGCTAAGGACAACGTTGATTTGAGCTCATTTTTCCTCTCAAACTTCGTGTTTTCTTTCTTTTTGAAAGGAAAAATAAAATCCGAAGCTTTGGTGTTTGATAAGCGAGAAAGTGAAGGAAGAAAAAACAGAAACGCTAAATTTTTTTTTTCAGTCCATGAGCTATGGGTACGGTAGTGCTTTGGTCCGTAACGTTCATTGTCTCCTATTTCATCTAGAAAGTTATGATTCCATATCATTTTGGTCCTTCGGTGTATCTGCCGACCCCGTTAGGAAAGTGGAAGGAGGTCCACATGATGTAAATCTAACACCAAATGGCTGAATATATATATATTATTATATATTATTTTTAAAATAAAAAAAATTAATTATATAATATATTAAGTTATATTTTAAAATTGTTATATATTTATCATTTTCTTAAATTAAATTATCATATGTTGATTATGGACATTTTTTGAATAAAAAAATGAATTACAAAATGCACGTTATGTTATATAAACCACTAAATATCAAAACATTGTAACTTATCATTCTCAATACAAAATTTCATTTATAGGTTACATTATGCAACATTCATATTTTTGAAGGGGAGAATTCCTCCAATTCTAATTCAATTCATCTCCTGCTAATTTGCTCCATAATTAAGCATATCATTCTGATGCTCAGATGCTAAAGTCATATTAACTTAATTTACCTAAAATTTAAAGGAAATAATAAAGAAAAAAGTTGTCGTCTATGTTCTATTACATTAAAAATAGCTTATACACTGTTCCATGGCTCTGATTTATCTTTAGCAGTGTTATGTTTGTGTGAATGAAGCATGAAATTGCATGCTGCCACAGCTTCTCCCACTGTTAGATGTATCCATTCCTGGCCTATATTTTCAATGAAGTTAGACTTGTTCAATTTTTTCATCACTTCAGCTCCAGGGTTGGCTAATACAAGCTAAAAACACAAGAAATCAATCGAATTAGAATCAAAACAAACTTTTTGAACTCAGATTGCAATTTCTCTGCAATGAATAAGCTGATTAATTACAACATTATGTAGAATAATTTTGGTACCTTGAGCCCCTTTCTATCAGTAGTCTTCTTAACCTATTCAAGCATGCTTATCCCACTTGTGTACATATATATAAAAACAAAAGTGCATAAGCTAAAGAACAGAAAAAAGGAACAAAGGCAACTCCTCTTAGGCAATTGATCGAATACTTGGAGTGCACATATATTAAAAGAAGAAGAAGAAGAAGAAGAAGAAGAAGAAGAAGAAGAAGAAGAAGAAATCTCTAGTCTTCCATATCTTCACCTCAAAACCCCCAAAAATCAATTGAGCATAACAAAAAAATCTTCCAAAACTAAGAAAAGAAGAAACAACCGAGACCACTTCATGACAAAATTGCATTGCTAGTTACAAAATGGTGTGTTCTGATTCCTTTAAAAGATTTAAACATTTAATTTTTATTTTAAATTAAAATTTTAAAATTAATATATATCAACTTAACTTATTTTTCTTATTTATCAGTTAAGGCAACGGTGAGCAAATGTTAACGCAGTAAAGTAGACAAACGAGGAGCAAACTAGCTGATGTGTTAAGTTTGCAGTGTAAATTATTTTAATAAGTTTAATAATTAACCTGGAGTAGAAAGGTTCTTGATGGTGGTTCATAATGGTGAAAATCTTAACCTTTTTTTTTATTAAAAAATATAACCCTTTAAATCTCACATCAATAAAGGTTTCTGAGTAAATAAATCTAAGTGTTAAAACTAATTACTATTAACAACTTAAGTTTAAGTTTTGAGAAACCTATATACCTGGACTTCTTGAATCAAAAGATGCAGATTTGTGACATACACAGGTTTGAAAGTATTTGATATAGAGTGTGGACGACATGTTTGACATAAAACTACAAACACAGGATTGAAAGTATTTGATATATATACAGTGTGGACAACGACATCTTTGA